GACACCCTCTTTAAAGTTGAGAGGCATGGTCAGTACATTACTACCACACTCCAGCACGTGACACATTAAAATTTATGTAAATATTATTACAGTGCAGTTTTCCCAATCTCCCATGTTTTCTTGACAGATTTACTGATGCAGTAACCTCAAAAGTGATACACCTCAATTCAAGGTCAGAGGTGTAACTGCAATACCATATTTATTCAGTGGTGCCAAAATCAGTTGTTCCATCCCAAGTTTAAAAGAAAAAGTCAGACTCAAGAAGTGAGATTTGTTTTCAACTATAAAGAAAAGAGAAACACACAAAGAGCGTATTATACATAAAAATGTGTTCAAATGTCCAAGTTTGCTAAAGTGAGGCAGGGTTTTTTTAGACCTCTTCATTGTAAAATGAAGACAGAAGAAACAAAAATACATACTAATTTAGGAACAAAATTGTTGATTTTTTCATTGTTTATAAACCTACTGTGAATAAAAATGTTTTCATTTATTATTTCAATTAAAAGAGTTTTGAGGATAAATATTCCCTTGTAGAGTCGAAATCCTTAACAATACCCGCACATGAGAAGCAAAATGTCAAATGGACTAAAAACTGACTGAAATGGCTTTGACCAATGTGCCAATTATACTGTCCTAGCTGAATGAAATGCAAACAAGGAAACAACATACAGTAACTCCTCACTTAAAGTCATCCCGGTTAACGTTGTTTTGTTGCTGATCAATTAGAGAACATGCGTGTTTAAAGTTGCACAATGCTCCCTTATAACATTGTTTGGCAGCTGTCTGCTTTGTCCACTGCTTGCAGAAAGAGCAGCCCGTTGCAGCTAGCTGGTGGGGGCTTGGAACCAGGGTGGACCAGCAGCCCCCGTATCAGCTCCCCGCTCCCCTAAGTTCCCTGTGCTGCAGCCACCCAGCAGGCTACCAATTGCCGGAAGTTCAGCTGTCCCTCCCCCCACTGCCGTGTGCTGCTCCTGCCCTCTGCTTTGGAGTTGCTCCTAGAAGTCTCCTGATTGCTGTGGAAGGGGAGGGGGGGAGGGCAGGGGAGGCTAATGTCAGGGTGTCTCCCTCCCTCCTGCTCCTGCCCCCCGCTTACCCCATCTCCATGGCAGGGGCGAGGGGGGATGCGACACGACAGGGCTCAGGACGGGGGGGGGGGGAAGCTTGCTGGCAGCAGCTGCTGTCTCAACTTACTGATCTACTTAAAAAGACAGTGTACTTAGAGTGAGGTCAGTGTACTTAATGGGGCAATACACATCTCTCTCTCCCCCCCTCTCTCACATACACACACAGGGTGTGTCTCTGTCTCTCATGCTGTCTCCCCACCCTCCATTTGTGCTGCCTTGTAGAGTGTGAGACTACATTAATAACAATGAGCTAACCCTTGAGGGCTCAGTTGAGTGCTAGTTCATCATTTAGCAGTAAGGCATTCCCTGGGAAATACTCCACCCGCTGACTTCACCACCTCAACCAAGCTTCACAATCATCATTGCTGTGTACAGTATTAAATTGTTTGTTTAAAATGTATACTGTGTGTGTGTGTGTGTGTGTGTATATATATATATAAGTCTTTTGTCTGGTGAAAAAGAATTTCCCTGGAACCTAACTCCCCCTATTTACATTAATTCTTATGGAGAAATTGGATTCGCTTAACATTGTTTCGCTTAAAGTCACATTTTTCAGGAACGTACAACGTTAAGCGAGGAGTTACTGTACATGGGAAAAAACAGCTGTTTAAAACTTTCAGTTTCAATAACGTTCAAAAAATGTTCGGCATTTTAGTATCAGCCATATTAAAATGTTCTTTATTCTTGAAAGTGTCCCCTTAAAAAGTTAGAATAAAATGTTTTATGAAGAAGCCACTTTAATGTATTTATTCATTTATTTTACAAAGTGATTTAATAATATTTTAAACTTACATAATACTTTCCTGAAAGATCCCAAACACTTCACACATTACACAAAACACCCCAACTTTTGGAAGGAACAGCAAACAAATGGCACACAAGGTCAATGAAATTTTGTCTAAGACACTAGAGCAAATCCAAATTCAATATATGTACCATCATATCTTTAATATATTTACAAAGCTAACAGGATCTCTGAGTTTAGAATGCAGTTCTACCCTCAGGAAATGAATCTCTAAAAATGTCACAGTGGGACTCCATATACACTGTCTCACTGATTTGCATTTCAAATTTGCTCACTTTGGAAGTGAAAAGATTTGTTTTCTAAATGCCATCACCCACAAACTCACCCTGGACTCCTACTTCTCTCCATTTCATAAATCACCACCAGTAACAGAGGTTCTCCAAGTGAAATGTAACTTCCTGCCTGCAGCCCCATAAACTTCAGATTTTGCAATCAGTGACACTTATCAGCCTTAGGTAACTTTGCACAGGTGTTACCTATAATCTGAAGACAGAGGGCTTGCCAAGGTGCAATTTGGCAGATACCTATGAGCAAAATAAAAGAATCCAGCTTGACTGCAAGAGCACCCAGGGTTTGTGCAGACGACACGTGAAAAAAAATATATATTTTTTTTACTTGCAAACTGGGCGTATCTGAAATGTGAATCATAGAAACACAGGACTGGAAGGAAGCTCAAGGGATCATCTAGTCCAGTCCCCTGCACTGAGGCAGGACTAAGTATTATCTAGATCATTCCTGACAGGCATTTGTTTAACTTGTTCTTAAAAACCTCCCATGACAGAGATCCTGCAACCTCCCTAGATAATTTGTTCCAGTGCTTAACTACCCTGACAATTAGCAAGTTTTTTCTAATGTCTAACTCAATCTCCCTTGCTACAATTTAAGTCCATTTATCACTCTCCTCTTTATAGCAACCTTTTATGCACTTGAAGACTGGTACATCCCCCCTCAGTCTTCTCTTCTCCAGACTAAACAAACCCAAGTTTTTCTATCTTTCCTTACAGGTCATGTTTTCTAGACCTTTAATCATTTTAGTTGCTCTCTTCTGGACTCTCCCCAATATGTCCACTCCTTTTCCCAACTTCCAAGTGTGGTGCCCAGAACTGGACGCAATACTCCAGTTAAGGCTTCAACAGCGTTGAAGAGAGTGGAAGAATTACTTCTCATGTCTTGATAAATCTAATAGAACTCACAATTAATTTGGGGCTTGTGCCCTGCATTTTGACAGTGTGCCCTGAGGTTGGTACTCACGCTCTTGTGCTTCTGCAAGACAACTTGACTCAGAGAACAATATCTGCACATTGGACGATACGGTTGCACATTTCATTTTCTCAGCTCATAAGTGGAGTAAGAGTCAATGAATATGGAACCATTTACACAAAGTCATGTTTGCAGGAAGAACTGAATTTTACAGGTAAACAGAAGCATACATGTTATAGCATGCACCACTACCTAGCCCCTCCTACATACAGGCCTAGATAAAGGCCATGTGTACATCTGATGGAGATAGCCTTTCATTGGTGAGAAATGCACTTGCGTCCACACTCAAATTTGTTCCAATACATATTTCTCTAACCATTAATCAATGCATGCTGTGCGAACACAAGGTTAAAGTAAGCTTCCCTCTATTAGCTTCATCAATTGAGTGGCAGCCTGGACCCCTTCAAATTCCATTCAGTGCTAACAGTGGTCTGAGCTACAATAATCTGGTCACTTTTCTGAACTCCACTGCCAGACGTTTGCTTGACCAGAAGTCACCTCTGAGGATGGAAGTATAAGCTGGTTTCAGAGTAGCAGCCGTGTTAGTCTGTATTTGCAAAAAGAAAAGGAGGACTTGTGGCACCTTACAGACTAACAAATCTATTTGAGCACAAGCTTTCGTGAGCTACAGCTCACTTCATCGGATGTAGCTCACAAAAGCTTATGCTCAAATAAATTTGTTAGTCTCTACGGTGCCACAAGTCCTCTTCTTTTTGGAAGTGTAAGCATCTCTCACCTGCCACACTCTTCAGCCCTGGGGTGAAGAGAGACTGGAATTCCGGAGACTCCAGCTTCATGGTGACCAAGTGCCGTCCCTGGACCCGGACCCCTCTCTGGGCGAGGGGGAAGAGGTGGAGACCCGCCCTGCAGCGCGGCAGGAACAGCTGGCACCACATCTAAGGAGAAGAAACGGACCCAGTATAAGTTGGGACGGAGCCCATCGCTGAGGGGGGGAAAGCCAAGTTCCCCTTCTCTGCAGCTTCTCCACGAGGTGGGAAGGGTCAAACAACTGATCTTGACGTGAACACGCCCCTCAATCGCCACAGCACCCGAGCGCCTCCAGAACTTCAAGGCAGGTCTGCTCAGGGGGAGATAAGGAAGCATCACCCCCTTTGTTTTACAAACGGGAAACTAAATGGCGCTCAGGCCAGACGAACGGTGCCTTGCTCCGGGTTCGCTCAACCGGCTCCGACAGGTTGATTCCAGAACTCGAGCGTCCACACACACACAGAGCTACTCCGAGTCCGGACCCCGGCCCGGCGCGCAGTGCGGGGGGGGAGGGGGAGCTCTCCTTGCACCCCAAGACCCCCTGAGTCCGGGTTCCGGACCCCCCGGCCCGCCCCAGGCAGGACTCCGAGGGGGCCGGCTGCCCACAGGCCGCACTGGCGGCCCCAGGTCGGGTCTGCCACCCCCGCGCGGGGCCGGCATCGCAGCGGGGCAGCCCCGAGCGAAAGGCTCGGCCCCGTGCAAACGGCGCCGGGATCTGCCTCCCCAGGCCGAGCCCGGGCAGCCGCTGCCCCCGGGACCCATCGCCCCTCCCCTGCCCGGTGCCCGCCGCAAGGTGGGGGCGTCGCTGGGCCCGGGGCAGGCGCCGCGGGGTCCGGCCTGAAGGGAGCGGCCCCAGCACGCCAGGCGCTTAGACCGCGCGGGGGCGGGGGGGGGGAGGCGGCGGCGGCCTCACCCAGCCTGCGGCCTCCGTGCCGAGCTCGCCCGCCGAGGCCGCCTCTTCCGGGAAGGGCGCGTGAGCGGGGAGGAGCCAGTCGCGGGGCGGGAGGATGACAGGCCCAGCGCCCCCTGCCGGCCCCTGGGGGAGGTGCGGGCTGACAGGCCCAGCGCCCCCTGCCGGCCCCTGGGGGAGGTGCGGGCTGCTGGGCTCTGCGCCCCCTGCCGGCCCCTGGGGGAGGTGCGGGCTGCTGGGCTCTGCGCCCCCTGCCGGCCCCTGGGGGAGGTGCGGGCTGCCTGGCTCTGCGCCCCCTGCCGGCCCCTGGGGGAGGTGCGGGCTGCCTGGCTCTGCGCCCCCTGCCGGCCCCTGGGGGAGGTGCCGCTTGCTGGGCTCTGCGCCCCCTGCCGGCCCCTGGGGGAGGTGCGGGCTGCCGGGCTCTGCGCCCCCTGCCGGCCCCTGGGGGAGGTGCGGGCTGCCGGGCTCTGCGCCCCCTGCCGGCCCCTGGGGGAGGTGCGGGCTGCCTGGCTCTGCGCCCCTGCGGCCCCTGGGGGAGGTGCCGCTTGCTGGGCTCTGCGCCCCTGCCGGCCCTGGGGGAGGTGCGGGCTGCCTGGCTCTGCGCCCCTTGCCGGTCCCTGGGGGAGGTGCGGGCTGCCTGGCTCTGCGCCCCCTGCCGGCCCCTGGGGGAGGTGCGGGCTGCCGGGCTCTGCGCCCCCTGCCGGCCCCTGGGGGAGGTGCGGGCTGCCGGGCTCTGCGCCCCCTGCCGGCCCCTGGGGGAGGTGCGGGCTGCCTGGCTCTGCGCCCCCTGCCGGCCCCTGGGGGAGGTGCGGGCTGCCTGGCTCTGCGCCCCTGCCGGCCCCTGGGGGAGGTGCCGCTTGCTGGGCTCTGCGCCCCCTGCCGGCCCTTGGGGGAGGTGCGGGCTTGGGGACTCCAGCGCCCCCTAAAGGCGAAGGCCGCGGGACTGTGGGCTCTGCATCCCAGCGTCCTAGTGCACTTAGACCATCTCACCCCCCAGCCCCTCGACAGCCAGCACCGAGCTTTCAACCTGCACCAGCTCCACGCTGTCGTCTGCCCCCGATCGCCTCAGCGTCCCGTGGGCCAGGCTGGGGGAGGTCACGATGAGCCTCCCGCTCCTGTGAGCATCCCAGCTGTGGGTGAAATAAATCCCCACGCAAAAGTGCCCCCGGGCGAGTCTGAGGGACCCCACAGCTGGTCACTTGCCCTATTCACCTGTGTAGGGCACCTTGACTGATCCTGTCACTAACCCACAGACAGTGCTTCTGTTTTTTGGCATTTCTTAATTTCATTTGGGGGTGGGGTTATTTTCAGCAGTGTTTGAGTTTTATGTAGCTGTCCAAAACCAGGGGGGGTTGTGGCTTTCTCTTTAGATATTCACTGATTTCGTTTTTTTTAATTGGGGCATTCATCCGTTGCACTAGAAAATCAGAAGCCAGCCCGCAGAGTAGCGTGAGAACCTCCATACACTCTTGGGTAAGGTGGGCAGAAGAAACATACAGTGTACGGTAATAGGTATGTGTTGTCAGACATCACCAGTGTGGTGCTCTGCTCTATCCAATGTTGATAACAGTTGGCTGCGTGCATGTGTGTTCTCCCTGTGTCCTGTCCCAGCTCTTCGCGGATCAGCTGGCACAACGGATCTCGAGAAGAACCACCCAATGACCACAGACTCAGATAAGGTACGAAGGCACCCAGCCAGGTTTACTGCCAAACGAAACACAGTCTCTAGCTCCCTGGATCAGATGTCTATAGTTCTGCTAGTACATATGTGCTCCCTGACAATGCCTGGGAATGTTAGGCCCGGGACCATGACTGAGGAATGTAGTATTATGATTGAGCATTAGAGGCACTCCCAAATAATTAATATATGTGAATAATATGGATATGGTGTATATATTTGTAGTGTATACGGGCATATATGTATGTATATGTACATATACCAGCACTTTATATCCAAGCATAACAATTCTTTTCCAATCTGGTGTTATAATTTGGCCCCTGTGGTACTGCAGGTAGCAACCCACTTTTATTAGGGCAATTACAGTTACCATTTGTATCATTATTAGGAGTCGGCTGAGTGTTTGGAAATACTGGGATAGGGATTGTGATGTGTCCTACAGTGCTTTGTATAGGAGAAGTAAAACAGAAATTTGGAGTAGTGACGCTACCACTGAGGCCTTTCTATATAAATATATTGTAATTAGTTACTACACAGTAGTAGTAACTGTAGCTCACGAAAGCTCATGCTCAAATAAATTGGGTAGTCTCTAAGGTGCCACAAGTCCTCCTTTTCTTTTTGCGGCTACAGACTAACACAGCTGCTACTCTGAAACCCGTACACAGTACTGTCCATCCTTGTTATAGATTACCCTTACTACGGGCTGTCACCCTTTGGTAAGCTTCACTGGGCAGGAAACAGAAGTGGCTAACTTCTCTGTTCCATTGGTTGAACTGCTCTGTGATACACCAGTACTAGACCTAGATCCACTTGTTTCTTGTGGATGTTGTCTTCCAGATAACCTACTGAATGGATGATAACCAATTTATCAAATATTGCTGTGTCAGGATGTAGGATTGATATCCAGACACTGAATAAGATTGTTTCGAATAACATGTTAGTTAGGATGTAGTGTCAGTAACCCACATTATGACTGGTACTAACAGAGAATTTGTTTACCCAATTTGTAGTTACTGTGCAACTTAATTTCTTTACCAATTTGTTTTTCCTTGCCTTCATGTTGTTTGCTGCCATTCATTTGATGATTTTTACCTGTGTGTTGGTTAAGCGGTTTAGCAAGGTTATGTGCCTTGTAAACGCTGTACAGCAATAACGCAATACAGAAATAATACCACAGTACAACGATAATACGGTAGTACAGCAATAATACAGCTGTTTTTACACAGGAACCAAGTTGAAATTGAATGACAGTTTATCCTGGTCCAGCTAGTGCTTTTTAGCTGATAATTAACTTAATTGTCCATATATGGTAGATAGAGGTGTATTTGACCAGTCTCTTATTTATAAAGCACTTCATTTTTCTTTTCTTGATGCTTGGTAGTTTCTTCACTGTATACTGATATTTTCTGGTGTCTTCAGGGTGTGATATTTTCTGGTTTCTTTGGTCTGTGGGATGCAACTTAAACAACTTTTGTTAGTTAACATAGTAAAGTTTTTTGTTTGTTTTCAATAACCCAAACTTAATACAAAATTTAACTAAGTTTGTTTACAATGTAATAGTAGGGTGCTGCCTCTCACCTTGTACATGTTGGTTTGAACAAAACAACTCTATCCATCATATTACCCTTTTGCCCATCTTTAGGATGGGTCAGACTGTTCCTTGTTATCTGTGTGGAATGTGCAAGCATCTAAGTATTCTGGTACCTTTTAGGTATGTGTATGTTTGCAACATCAGCCCTTTTCTTGCCAGCGTCTGTGAGCAGGGTCTGCCTCTGGCTCACAGTTTAGCTTTGCTTTATGTTAACAAAGTCTTGATCATTACTTTAGTTCAGGCCTTAGGCCTCATACTGGGCCTCTGATACAAGGGTTTATGTTTCAGAGCCTCATTTTACTACAGTATGTTGCCAAACAGAGAAATGTAGTGGCTGGAGGGGACTTCACGAGGTCTAGTCCATCATCCTGCTTCATCGTCCTGGGCCATCCCTGGCTCTGACAGATGCTTATCCAACCCGTTCTTAAAAACTTCCCATGAGGGACTCCATACTGTCTTTTAATTCATACAGATGCACTGTTGCCCACCCCTAGAGTTCAAAGATCATGACTCAGGTCCCGCAAACTCATGACTAGCTGGTTTAGAAATAATGAGATTAAAAAAAAATGTGTTTATTTGCCTTGGACTTTCTGAGCCTTTAGGGTGCTTTACTATGCAACTATAAGGGCTAGAAATTTACATTAAAAAAAAAAAATCAAAGCTGAGATTCACATACAATCCCCTGATTCCAGCAGCCTGAACTTTAAGAAAAAGTACTGCAAGTCTCACAACAATATCACCAGAGCTGGCCACGCTGCTGATGAGCTGTAAACATGACGAGTATTCTGTGGTAACGTCTTAGGACTAGAATTCCAGCTAGATTGGCCTGGTTGCAGCTGCTTACCTTTGGTGGAGCCCTGCCTGGATGTAGAGATGTATGCAGTTGGATCAAATTTCCGATGTCTTTAGTCCTTACATTTCAGTATAGAGAGCCCAAGCAGAACAGAGGTCCTGTGTGCAGCATGCCTGGATGCATTATGGATAGAAATAATGCAGAACATAGTTTAACTGTTAATTGTAAGCTCTTTGGGACAGGGACTATCTCTTCCTATATGTGCGTAGCAAAATGGAACTTCAATCTCATTTGGAGCCTATAGGTACTGAACATATTTTTTATATGACATATAGAAGTTATAATAAAAACATAAAATACTATTGCTGGACAGTTGCCGTGTAACACTACTTTATTTCTTAGAATTCAGAACAATACACACAAAACCTTAAAAACAGAGAGACACAGAGCAGGTGACTCCCTAAAACAGAGAGACACAACTCACTTAAAGCTGGCTTCCTGCAGACTGTCTTCTGAGAAAGACCCGGATTACATGCTTCCCTATAGAGCCCTCAAACCTGCAAGCGGGACCAGTAAACCCTTTACAAATTACAATGATAGCATCTTATTTTAATACAGCTTTCAATACATCACAAATACAAAGAATAAAGTAGCACATTCCCATTTGGAATGTTGTTTTCAGTTTTGGTATCTCAATTTGAAGATATAGCTGAGATTCAAAAGGTTCAGTGAAGGACAGTAAAGATGGTTAGAAGTCTTTTATGAGGATATGTGTATAGAAAGAGACTGAAAAGCGATAGAACAGTAAACTACAACACATAATGAGCTAGTACTCTGAACACAGGATGGGAAGCCAGGAGCTTCTTGAGTTCTAATCTCAGCTCTGTTTGTAACTCATTGTTTGCCTTGCGCAAGTCACCTAACCTTGCTGCCTCAGTTTCTTCATTTGCATATTACCTACCAAATGATATAGTTTTGATGATTAATTACTATTTGAACAAAACTTTGAAAATGTAAACACTGTAACAGCTTTGAGTGTCATATCATAGCCTAGACTGTGGGGACGGGTACATTAGAAATACTGTGAAAGATATATACGCACTTAGTTGAGGTATTTAAAATTAAATATCAGTCCTGTTTTTTTTTATGTGGTCCCTTATAAAGGAACATAAGGCATCTGGCCCTGTCAATTCAGAGTCCACAAATTCATGGATTCATTTCCTGTTGTTAGCTAAGTAGCTTTCCAGTGTACTCCTTACCTTTGATCTCAAGAGCAAGGAGTCACTTGAAATTAATGGCCGGTATTTTTAATATAAAGCAAAATAATTCTTCACAGTGTGTTTAGTCAGTGAGCTGAATTCACTAATACAGGAGGTCAGAACATTATATGCTGTAGCTGGCTTTAATAATGGCTTGGATAATTCTGTGACCAGAAAAACAAAATTATAGCTACAAAGGCAATGCTAGAGCCCATTGAATTTGATACTCCGGGTATTAAATGTTAGCCCCAGGGTCAGAAGGATCTCTTCCCCATGAAAAGCATTTCACAATTTCTGAGGTGCATTAGGTGATGGACATTCTGCTTCCCTGTGAAATAATGACAGTAGTTAGGATACTGGTCCTAGTATTGCAAACCTGATGGTCCTACGTTTTCCAGTGCAGAGGGCACTATGCCTTACTTAAACCTTTCATTAAGGCTTTAGATGGAATATACTGGTGTAGTGGGACCTTGTTTGGGTCCATTGAAAAATTTTGTTGTTAAGCCATAATCAGCTTGGGAAGATGCTGGTGTTGGTCCATCCTCTGGTGCATTTAAGACAATCACAAAGAAAAATACCGCAGGAGTTTGCTTAGTACCTACCCTGGCCCTGCTTGTTTCTTATTCACTGAACCATCATAATGCAAATGTTCTGATTTCTGGCAAAGGTAGCATGTGACCTCCCTCTTAAGGTTACAAAAGAATACATTTATAATTGTGTTCAGAAAAATTCCCTCATTAAATACAAGTTCATACTAATCTTCAGGCCGCTTTAATATTAAAAGAACTCTATCTGAAATGTAACTAATGCTTACTATTCCGAAATATTTTACAAACATCGGCCCCAATTCTGCAAAATGTGTCCACCCACACAGAGCCTTGTGGGGTCTATATAGATCTTAATGGGTCTATAACTCATACATCAACTACAGAGATCACTTCAAGTAACGAACTGGAGCCACTTCTGGTGTTAAACTTGAGAGCTGTTCAACAATGATCTGTGACATTGCATAATAGTTTGGGTATCTGGTGTACCTTTACTGAGAGGGAATGATTCAAAAATGGCTACATTTCCTCTTAGAAAGTTAGAAGGACACTCCTGACTGAGGTAAAGGGACAAATTTGGCTCATTAGAACATGAAGGCAGGCAGGTTTTCAAAGGAGCCGGAAAGAATTACACATCCAAATTTCATTGAAAGTCATTGGGAGATGTCTGCCTGGCTTCCTTTGTGAGTAAAGCTCAGTCTCAGCAGCAAGGGTGTTGAAATGGTCATTGCAAATGGGAGGTACTGTTACACATAAATGGACTCTTTTGTCTCACATTTTACGCAAAGCCAGCTGACACAGTAGCATTTTGCTGTGGAAAGATTTTCCTGGCATTGAACACTTAACAGACATTGCAAGAGTGAATGCCTGCAAGTATAAATGAACTCTTCCAAAAAATCTGATATATATAATGGCCTTCAGTCAGACTTGTCTAAGATGGTAAGAAGACTAAGAATCTGTCCCTGAGTGGCGATAGCTAGGCTGATGGAAGGATTCTGTCATCGACCTATCCAATCCACATTTACACCTGGGATAGGTCAGCATGACTACAGGCTACAGGGCATGCATTTGTCACACCCCTGAGTGCCGTAGTTATATCAACCTAACTTTTAAGTGTAGACCAGGCTGATGTGGCATAGCTATGAAGAAGTTTTTTCTGCCAGTGCAGGAACACCACCTGCTCAAATAATATTAGGTTTGGCAACAGAAGGACTCTTCTGTTGGTGTAGCTGCATCTATACTGGGTGGGTTTGTCAACATAGCTATTCCAGTATAAGTTTTAAGCGTAGACCAGGCCTAAAACTAGCCTCCTTTTTACTCCTTTACAGAAACTTTCCATTGATAATGACAGAGTTGCCTTCCCTATAAATCAGTTCTTTACATTTGTTTTTTCCTTTGCTTCTTAATTTCTCATTTCCTCTGCTATCACTTTTAATTGTAACTTTGTGCCAGAATTCTTTTATCCCGCAGAGCATTTCGGGATGCAGTTTGTATGAAAGACAAAAATCATTGTGGTGTGTTGTATCATATTGCTATATGCCAAATTATTTATAGTCCCACCATATTATGGTATATAATTAAGCCAACACAGGTAGAAGTAAAGCCATTTCATTGCTTAAGAAAGCTCTTCATTCTGTGGTTATATGCACAGTTCCCTTTTTTTCTACAGTCTCCTAATTAATCATCCGTCATCATTTCTATCGTACGTCTCAGAGTTGCATTTAAACACAGAGCAGAGTTATAAAAGAAACACGGAGAGAGCTGCCCAGAGGCCAGTTTTCAGAAACAGAGCTAAGAATCTGAAATGAACCCTTAGGATTCTGCTGCAAACCTCAAGGAACATTTTTGGAGGAGCGAATGGGTATCCCTTTTACAGATTGCCTTGTCTTTCGTGCACTGGGAAATGAGAGTCTGGAACCTGCTCCCAGTCAGTAAACTCTTGACAGTGGACTAGACTGCAGCTGTGCTAGTAAGTAAGAAAAACCTTAACTTCTAGCAGATGTTTTCTTCAACTGTGGCTTTTTGCTGTCTTTTAAGACCGAAGATATTATTTATCATTTTCTACAGTATTTATTTTATACCATTCGTAATCAAAATTTGCTTGCCTCTTATTTCAGTGTGAATGCTTATGCGTATTAGTGAATAGGCTGTTAATGCTATTGTGGATATCTAATCACCTTGTCTAATTATTTAAAATGACACTTTTGTTTGATCAGAGAGACAAGGTGGGTGAGGTAGTATCTTTTATTGGACCAACTTCTGCTGGTGAGCGAGAAAAGCTTTGGAGGCACACAGAGCTCTTCTTCAGATCTGGGAAAGGTACTTCCAATGTCATAGCAAAATGCAACATGGAATGGAATGCTTAGCATAAATAGAAAAGGAGTACTTATGGCATCTTAGTCTCTAAAGTGCCACAAGTACTCCTTTTCTTTTTGCGAACACAGACTAACACGGCTGCTACTCTGAAACTTAGCATAAATAGGTAGCACATAGTATAAGGGACCATTCAAGGTAGAGTGGCCCGTTAACACCAATAGAAGATTTTACCTTGCTCACCCTGTCTCTGAAATATCCTGGGTCCAACACGGCTACAACTACACTGCATACATTTTCGTTTGATTACATTTTCAGTAATTTCACATACACACCCACCAGTAAATGATGAAGAACAATGATAAATATATCTGAAAAGTTTGTAGTATCACGTGAGTATGGAAATGCCTCTTTAAAGAGTTAATTTTTCTCTACTGGGGTGATGGAAAAATGAAGTATAAAATAAAAAGAAATGAGGAAGGAAAAGATTTGGAGCTAAAATCACAAGGATTCAAGGATAAAACAACATAAGATTCAGTCAAGGTAAACTGATCTGCATTAGTATAATATTTTTCTCCCATTTTTCAAATGGGAAATTGAGGGTCCAGGAATCTTAGGACAGGTCTACACTTAAAACGCTGCTTGGCACAGCTGCACCAATGCAACTGCACCGCTGTAGCTCTTTAATGAAAACACTCTAAGCCGATGGGAGAAAACTCCTGTCGGCTTAGTTAATTCACCTCTGGGAGAGACGGTAGCTATGTCAGTGGGAGAAGCTCTCCTGCCGACATAGTGCTGGATTATGCATACTCCTGAGTGATATACTTATACTGAAGTAATTCTGTATTGTAGACCAGGGCCTAGTGTCCTTCCAAGGTCCCAGGGAAAGTATGTGGTGGAAGAAGAATTAGAAACCAGATCTCTTGACTCCAAGGTAAAAATTTACAAACTTGGGTGTTAGGCACCCAAATCCATCTTTCAGCTACTAAATAGATGGCTTGATTTGCAGGCATGCTAAGTACCAGCAGCCTCCGTCCAAGTCAATGTTCTGAAATTACTGAAGTCAGTACAAGAGGTGGGTCTTCAGCACATCTGACAAGCTGTGCATTTTAGAAATCTAGAGATGAACTCAGGTGCCTAACTTTTAGGCACCTACGGTTGAAAAATTTGATTGCCAGCGTTGTGCTCCCCATTTACTCAGAGAAATATAAAGCTCTCTTTAAAACATTACATAAGGGTACTTCTGCAGCTATGAAGCAATAATAAAGCACCTCCCATAGCTAAAAAGTTTAATCATAAGTGAAATCCAGTTCAATACTCTGATTACATCGGCTTCAATAATACCAGAACTAAACGGTAAGTACTGTTGCATTGCCTCTGGGAGGCTCAGACGTCCCTGTTAGGATTTGTATGTGATTTTTCAGTAATTTGAATGCGTTTTAGCAGAAATATGATCTAGCCATTGTCTGTAGATTTTTGTATCTTTAGTAATGTTTATGGAAGAAGAAAAACTGAAAATCTGTATGAGGCTTGCAAATGGAATTTTAAAGAAATGCTATATTTCGTATTTTTGCAAGACCCACTGGGTCTTTTCTTACATAAAGACTTTTTTATTGGTATGATTTCTGTGTCTTTACATACAGATTAGGCAACAATTAAATAGCCCATTTTAGGGCATGTCTACACTACAGCCCTAAGTCAACCTATGTTAGGTTGACTTACAGCCACCACACTAATTACAGCCAATGGTGAAATCCACAGACACATGGCTTTTCAGGAGCTATACTGCTATCGAGGGCAAATGGTCTTGGAGATATTGTGCAGGCATGTGGATGGCCATGGCATGATTCTTTGAAATTCCCATGGATCTCAGAAGGGCATCAAGTATCAGGCCAAATCTGCTTCCAACTCCATAGTAGCAGATGGAGGCCAAGCTTGGCTCCCCTGAGACTGATCAGTTAGAAAAGTCACAGATCCAACCAGACTCATTCACTTTTCTGACCAGCGAATAACTAGCTCCCCACAGGATATAAACATAGAGAATGGAATGGGACTTGGATGCTACACAACACCTTGTTTTCATGAACTCAAAATTAAAAATAGCTACTCTGCAGCAGAAGTTTCCAAACCTGCACTTGCTGGATCACTGGGGATCTGCAGAGTACTTGCTGATGGGTCATGGAAAACTGATAGGTCGCAGGATGCTAGCTCTTTTCACTTCCAGCTGCTAAATCACTTTACAGAAGCTAAAATACACTAAATACTTTCACAGTGTTATTTTGCCTTGTAAGGAATTGCTGTAGTTGCCATAGACAAGTTATGTGAGTCGGACTGGGAGGGAATGCAGCCATGCCAGAGGATGTTCTTAGTGAGACAGTCTCTCTCTTAAGATGCAGTCCATCATATGAAAGTTTGGGAACCTGCTGGTCAGTACTGCCTTGTTGTTTACTGGGTTATGTGTGAATGATCAGTCGAACAGGTTTTCTGTACTTCACACACAAAAACCGAGTTTAACCTCAGCACACCATGCTGTTTACTAAACATTAAAAGTAATCACTCTTTCAGTCTCATACAAACAAAAATGGCTTCTCTTACACCCAGTAATAAACACAGGCATGTAGGTCCTTGGAGAACGTAACCTTTAGGGCTAGCCTGCTAGCTTGTTTTATTAGAAACCGCAAGAACGTGGAAGTAACGGTTCAGGCACATCTAACAATAACAGTGTTGATGGGGTAAGTTAGTAAAATAGTGTACGTGGAAGGGAAGGAGGGTAGAATGAAGGTTGTGGTGTGTGCATAGACAACCTTTACCCTCAGTCTTCCACTCCGGAAAGCAGCAGCCCCTCCCTAAGCTTCCAGATTTTGCCCCTGCCTCTCCCTGTGGGGTGCAGCTCGCAGCACACTGACGCCGGCAGCTGCTGCACAGGGAAGGGGGACAGAAATTTAGTAATGGCAAGATGTGTACCTGCAGGCAGGGCCATCCCTTGCCATTTTGGTGCCCTACTCAGCCCCCTGCTGGGGGGGAGGCGGGGGGGGGGCCTCAGGCCTCCATGGGGGGCAGGAACAGGCTTGGGGGGCAAAGGGGAACCATCCCCCAGCACGAGCCAGCGGAATGGAGCGGTTTGGGGCTGGGTCGCTAAACTTCCTGCCACACAGTGAATGCACGGTGTGCCTGACCCCTGCTGCAGTCCTCAGGGGAAGGGGTGGCGTGGGGGTGGGGCTGGGGAAGAGCAGGGGGCGGGAAGCAGCAGGACGGGCGTGGAGCAGGGCGGGGGCTTTGGGGAAGGGGTGGAGTAGGGGCGGGGCTGGGGCAGAGCGGGGGGTGCATGGGGAAGAGGCGGAGCAGGGGCTGGAGCAGCACGCAGTTGCATATTTTGTGTATGGGTAGGAATGGCCCTGCCTGCAGGGGAAGGAGTGGAGGATAGGCACTATAAGGTGACAACTTAATTTCCTTAATTTTGTTTATTTGCATGTAGCCACCTCAGATGTTACACTACAAACTTTGTGTGTGTTAATTTATAGGTAAGGGGCTACATCTTGTATTATAACTAACCATTATCACTTATTACCAAAAGGATATGGCCATCCTGGTGAGCATTTTTCCAGTTCTCCTTTGGACACTGATGGCATTTCAGGCAAACTCATTGCAAGCTAAAGGAAGTAAGTAATTTTCTCCTAGTGATACCTGAAGTTTTTGTTCTTTTGCCATTTATATGCTTACATTTTTCTCCCATCATGATTTGTTCTCTCGGGGTCTCTGTCACCTTGTCCTTCTAAATTGTCAGTCCCATCCTTCTTCTATCTTTGCTAATATTTATGCCTTATTTCCTTGTTCAGCATAAATATGTTCCACACATATATGTAGGCTTGGCAGAATTCAGTTTTTTTAATACCAATCTTTATTTCAAGCATTTTTCCAATTTTTATTGATTCTAATTTTCACAGTTGGGCAAAATTATGGGTGTGTGTATCAGACAATTATTTAATGACAGTAGGTGTTGTTATTAAAGTTAAAGCTTTAATACACTTTAAAACACTAACTGTCAACATCACATGTCAAAATGCACAAAGTAAATGTCAAAAAGAAAAGGAGTACTTGTGGCACCTTAGAGACTAACCAATTTATTTGAGCATGAGCTTTCGTGAGCTACAGCTCACTTCATCAGATGTATACTTGTGGCACCTTAGAGACTAACCAATTTATTTGAGCATGAGCTTTCGTGAGCTACAGCTCACTTCATCAGATGTATACCGTGGTTGGTATACATCTGATGAAGTGAGCTGTAGCTCACGAAAGCTCATGCTCAAATAAATTGGTTAGTCTCTAAGGTGCCACAAGTACTCCTTTTCTTTTTGCGAATACAGACTAACACGGCTGTTCCTCTGAAACCTGTCAAAGTAAATGTCCTTAAACCAAACAAGAATAAGTTCTCAAGCAGCATTTCTCTTACTTTACCTATTTGTAAATTTTGATTACCGATGGAAATATTTTTCGTCGGTTTCTGTGTGTGCGTGTGGTACAGTGAAAGCGGTGTATACAGACATTTACCAATAAAAATCTATTCCTGGAAAGCCTATACATATAAATTCTTGTGTTTTAAATTAAATCTCTCTGTATGCTTTAATATACATTTTTCCCAGGGACAAAACTCAATTCCATCTTGTTTGTAAGGCCCTGATTGTGCAAACTGATCTGTGGGTGATAGCCCTGGGCCAACACAAATCCATGGATCCATCCATGTCAGGGATCCATACATGTAAATCAACCTGAAGGATCCAAAACTATATTTTTTTAAACAAACTAGCCGTGATAGTAGGTTACTCAACTTTGTGAATTTAAAGTAATCTGGTTTTCATAATAGTTTTATCTTGGTTAGGTTTCAATTAAATTCCTATTCAATAATCTATTTGCTCCTATCTCTCAGCCTTTTGCCCAAGTATAAGAAACATGTTTTATAAGAAGCTATTGAATGAATAAAGTCTAACATTTAAGTGAAGTCTGTAACCATTTTCCTGTATTGATAGTTACTTGTAAGTAGCTATTGCTGTGAACTACTCACTATTCACTATTATTAGTTTATACATTAGTATATCATTAATTATTTTGTTTTTTCCCTTAATCAACAGTTCAGGTTCTCCCACCTGTTAACTTCACTCTCACAGTCTCTGCTCTAGCAGAAGTACTTTTGCAATGGAAACCAAACCCTGATCAAGAAGAAAAGAACTACACTATTAGATATGATGTGGAAATTATGACTCCCGAGAGGGACGAGGTAAGTGTAAAGTATTGCTAATACATGTTGGATTAAATGTGCTATATTAAATTCAAACCCAAGATTTACTGATTAAGATATGACTTTCAGATACATTGGCTCATCAGATTTACTTTTGGTTTTGTGTCATAAACAAATATATTAGCCATTCACCAGATCCATCTCTCTCTCTGTCTGTGGGAACAACTCTGTTGCAAGGGAGATTAACCCCAGGAAATAGCAGGTGTCAGTATTTCTGTCACGGTTCCCAAGGAATTCTACTAAGTGAGGGTAGTTTTAATTTTTGGCTCACTGGAGGCTGTCCGGGAGAGGTGTTGAATCAGCACTGCTCTTGGATGGTATAGTCCACCACTCATGTTACTGCATTTATTGCAGATTGACGCCAGTATATAGATAGTATTTGGATCCATGTTTCACCAAAATTCTCTACCTGGAAACCTTCATTTAACCCATTTCCAGTAGGCAATCCCCCATCTTAAGCAACACATTTGAAGTACCTTCAAATACCATATGATTTGAACTTTAGTAAAAGACCACCTTTGTTAGGAGATCTACCTTTGCTGGTCCCCTGAGTGAGAACCTAGGTCAGGTTTCATTGCATTTGATACTAATAAATTGTTTATTTTTCAAGTATGATACAAAGAAAACTTGCAGTACCCGTATGGCTGTGCTTCATAATGGTTTTTCTGCACGTATTCGGACATTGCTTCTCTATACCAACTCGCAAATAAAAAGTAACTGGGTTACAGCTAAACTCCAAGCCCCACCAGGTAAGATATGTTACGAATGTAATTTTATGTTATGTTGTAGTCTGTAGACAAGAAAGCACGAAAAGGATGACAGGTTAAAAACTTCAGAAGGAAGACACATCTCCTACTCTACATGGCATTGTTCTTATACAATAGTTTTGGTCCAGATTCCGGTATCATTTTTCACACTGAATAGCATCTTACTCCTGATTATAACCCCATGACTTCATTTTGTCAGCGGCACTACTTGCGGAGCAAGATGCTATTTGATCTGAGTATGGGTATCAGAATTAGGCCCTCAGAGGGACAACAGTCCCAAGGAGCAGAAGATGGCTGAGATTTAGGGTATCAGTTAAGATAGGCCTGGTTTGGCCAATATAATTGATAAAGAGGAGGTGGAGTAGTGGTTTTGTTAGAGCAGGGCGTGGGCAGAGATATCATGAGAATGTGTAAGATCCTGAAATGAAAAGAACAGAAAGATGCCTATCCTGGAAGACTCATTGGCTCAGGGGACTGGTAACAGAATAACAACCTTTTTCACTTGGAGGTTACTGGTTGACTTTTAATTACTACTACTTAACAACTGGTCAGGGGTCTACGTGAAATAAGTTGGGGAACCCTGTTTGGTTTCTAGTAGAGTTGGTTCCTCATCACAGTTTTAACTAATTGTCTATCTATGCTGACAGGACTGAACGGAGATGGGCACTATTTCTCAGCCTTAGAAACCATCCTTACGGGTCAAGGTAGAGGCACTTTAGATGGTAGGGATGCATGTAGAAGGTTACACTGCTGTTGTAAGATTTGATCCTGTAAATGGACTCGCATTCTTCTAAATCAAATCTAACCATCCACCCTTTGTTTTAGAAAACATACTCCTGTTTTAGGATTTTGAATTCTCCATGAGACAAGTCTGTAGTACTCGTCTCCTACAGACTTTTCATGTTCCCAGTTGTCCTCATCTCTATCCTGCATTGTTTTCATTGTTGGCCTGGTATCCAGCAATATCAGCAATCAGAGCCTTGTGTTACAAAAAAGCTAAGCAAACAGGCCCCAGAGAATCATAGTTATCTCCATTGCTTCTTCCATCTCCTTTCCAATCCATATCTGATTTCAATCTCTCTGCAGCTCTTGTCATGTCTGTGCTAGCCAGACTCACTCTTGGAAGCCCCCAAGCCTGGAATATGTTCTGGAGCTGTACAACTTTGATAATCCTTACAACAGAGTCCTTGAAAGACAGTAGCTGACATCATCTAATCCCCCCTTATTTAATAATTTAGTTCACTTCTGCTCTAGAGACAGTTTAGGACAGCTCAAGTCTAAATGCGCCGATTACATCACAAAGCCTGAAGGGCAGTGTTGTATCTGTTCTAGTCTGACTTCCTTTATGCAAACAGGTTCAACCAATTCTGGGAAAGAAGGAAATGGAAGTGATTTTAAGAAGCTTTTGATTTTTGAAATGTTTATTTAGAGATAGATAGGTTTGTTTACATATGTATGTATGTATGTATACTTGTCAGACATCATGCAAACTGCCTGAGAAAGCCTTATACTCTTGGGTCCTGATTCAAAGCCCTTACAAGTCCATGGGACTACTGAGAGGCTTAAAATTATGCATTATGTGTAGTAATAATTGGGCCTACAAATTTATCCTAATTGTGAGCTCAATTGTAAGAAGTGAGTGAAAGTTCAGAAAATGTCACAGTAGCCTATAACAATAAATGTTGATGGGGAAAGGTACAAAAGGGAGACAGAATTAGTTAAAAAGCCTACTGTTATAACTCAAGCACTGTGTTAAGATCATGCCTGGTAAAGTCAGGGACCAGAACTCAGTGAACCAGAATTGGTGTTTTGGAAATTAGGCCTAATTGGCAAGCAAAATAATGAGGAAATGGGCTATTCTGCCCATCATTCCCTTTTGGGCACCTTAAAAGAAAAGTCTTTAGGAGGAAAAAAAAATCAAGCAGCAGCTCTTTGTCAACAACTGGTGACTGAAAGATGGGAGAACAGGAACAAGCAAACTTCACCACCATGGCTTTCCTCCCTCCCCCGCCTACTGGAACTCTGGGATCCACCGTGGGTCTTTGTCATCCTACTGCCAAGAGATGTTCTGAACAGACTTGGCCAAAGGGAGGGACCCAGATGATATCACTACCCCCACTGCTCTGGCTACACCCCAGACACCGTCTGGAGTCTGAGACTGTGTTGTTTTCTTCGCCGCCTGTGTATCTTTTGCTCGTCCCACCTTATTTCTTCTCTTTCCTATCTCTTATCCTATCTCTTCGTTTGCCTTCTGTTTAATAGACGTCAGGCTTAGCTAGCCAAGACTGCATATTTTTCCAATATGTCTGTGAGCCTGTGCCCAGAGAGGCAGATAAAAGCAATGCCTAATTAGTCCAACACTGGTACAAGTTTGCCACTTCTTGGAGTGGCTGATAAGACTGCTATGCCTGTGTTTCTCCAGCAGAAATGTTGCAATTGAGAGTTAACACCAGTGACAAAAGCTGCATTTTCTGTCTTTCCTGTTCTTGTCTCTCCCCTTGTGTGTATATGTCTTGTTTTGCTTTCTAGGAAATGGGATCAGACTTTAAAAAGAACAGCAACAGCAGCTTCAGCCCTTCTCAACTAACTTTTTCTCTTTTCCCCAAAAAAGACCACTTAAGAGAATGTCAAACAAAGATTGTTTTCCTTCTAAAGACTCTCTATAGGTAAACGAAAAGGGAACAAGGGATGCTGTTAAAATGAAAGTCTTGCTTAATACCTTACATTTTAAATGCTTTAACTGTTTTCCCTTCTTTTTTCTATCTCTAATAACAGGTTAAAAGGTGTTTTTAATGATGTATTTGCCATGGTACTAATCAGGCTGAGGTCTTTGTTTACCAAATGTTAAAGGTTGCTTAAAACTTTTTCATGTTGGAAAGTTACGGGTCATGTTAACACCTTTAACTCTTTGGGTTGGTATATAAGGCCGTACTTGAATTGTGGGACGAACTTTAAATAATTGCAGCTGAGTTGCGAACAAGACATGGAAAATCGTGGAAAAGTAATAATGGACCTTTATTAATAGCAGTAATTTGGAAAAGCCAAAGTAGACCTATTTGTTTATGAAAAAATTACTGGAACGATATCAACACTGACGCATTATGTTATGCCTGCTCATTGTTTTGATAACAACCTTTTTTACTGCAACTATATTACATTCATTTTAAACCAGTGACAGGTACAATATAAAACTCAGAAGACTAAAAGTCTTAACACAACTGCTGTAGAAATTGAGTGCAGTCACGTTAGCCTTTTACAAGCATTGAATGTTAGTGCAGTGCTAATTGCATAATCAAAATATATGCAAAATTGTGGACTGTGCAAAGTAAGCCAATTAAAATACAAATTGCAGTGGAAGCTGCAAGATCTGCAATTTCTGTAATATCACGAATGAAGTAGGGCTGTCCTCAGAGAGACCATTAAATGTAGTATAACATGTGCTTAAGGGTTTTGCTGGAATGGGGTTGAAAGAAATTGCTTCAAGTGAATGGGACTAGGAGAAAATATTTTAAAACTTTCTAAAACGTTTCTAAACATTGTTTCCCGTAATTGAGGGGCATACACAGAATACGTGGTGATGTCCTGTGCTATAAAAAGAACATTTGTAATGTTTGGGATGAACTGCTTCACCACTCATGAGAGAGATTTGATGTATAGACAGAGAAATATTTGATATATAGACAGATCAGATAGAATATATACATATACAAGGAACCAAAGACTGTAATCAATTGTATTTTAAGTTATTTTATAATCGTGAGTAGTAAGAACATGCTAGTAAATATTTAGCGCGTATTACCTTACAAGTGCAACCTTTTGTCTATTACTGGTGCTATAGGTGCTGTTGAGACATCAGTCACTAACTTGTCCTGTGTGATTTGCACTGCCGTTAATAATACTGCATCTCTACATTGCACCTGGCTTGCTGGCAAAGCGGCGCCAGAAGATACCAAATACTTTCTATTTTACAGGTAAGTGCCTGCTTCTATTTTTGACCCTTGTAGGTTTCCTTAAGATAATAATGTCTTACAAACTAATCTAATTTAGGTATAACAACTACACTGAAGAATGCCAAGAATATAGTAAAGACAAATGGGAGAGAAATATTGGTTGCCGATTTTCAAACACTTACATAGAGACTAGTGAAACTGACGAAGTCATCGTAATACACATTAATGGGTCAAGCAATGGCACTGCAATCAAACCTTTTGAACAGATATTTAATCAAAATGCCATTCGTAAGTAAATATTTTTATTTTTTACACATTAAAATATCTATAGCTTCTTAGATCTTGGTGAAATGTTTGCAGTGAAATCTTAAAAAAATCTGGTGTAAAACTCAAACATGCTCTGCATTTTGGTTTAAAGATTTGCTGAAATTCATTGGTGGTTTGAATGATACATAGTCCAGTTTAAGATATGGGCTAGTTTAAGGGTTCACATGGATATTTTCTGAAACTGGAGGTGTTAGTGTGGAACTAGGGGAAATATGATGATTTTAACAGTGTGATTTTAATAGTTAGGTTTAAATTTAAGGACAATAAAACTAAAAGATAGAAATAACCTATTAGTTCCCCTAATTTATCTGTCTGCCAAAGGTCTTGTCCCCTAATGCCCCTACTCTACTTGCACTACATTGATGACGTCTTCATCATCTGGACCATGGAAAAGAAGCCCTTGAGGAATTCTACCATGATTTCAACAATTTCCATCCCACCATCAACCTGAGCCTAGACCAATCCACACAAGCGGTCCATTTCCTGGACACTACTGTGCTAATAAGCAATGGTCACATAAACACCACCCTATACTGGAAACCTACTGACCGCTATACTTACCTACATGCCTCCAGCTTCCATCCAGGACACACCACAGGATCCGTTGTCTACAGCCAAGCTCTAAGATACAACCGCATTTGCTCCAATCCCTCAGATGGATACAAACACCTACAAGATCTCTATCAAGCATTCTTAAAACTACAATACCCACCTGCTGAAGTGAAAAAACAGAGTGACACAGCCAGAAGAGTACCCAGAAGTCACCTACTAGAGGACAGGCCCAACAAAGAAAATAACAGAACGCCACTAGCTGTCACCTTCAGCCCTCAACTAAAACCTTTCCAGCGCATCATCAAAGATCTACAACCTATCCTGAAAAATGATCCCTCACTCTCACAGATCTTGGGAGACAGACCAGTCCTCGCTTACAGACAGCCCCCCAACCTGAAGCAAATACTCTCCAGCAACCACACACCACACAATAAAAACACTACCCCAGGAACCTATCCTTGCAACAAAGCCCGATGCCAACTTTGTCCACATATTTATTCAAGTGACACCATCATAGGGCCTAATCACATTAGCCACGCCATCAGGGGCTCGTTCACCTGCACATCCACCAATGTGATATATGCCATCATGTGCTAGCAATGCCCCTCTGCCATGTACATTGGCCAAACCGGACAGTCTCTATGCAAAAGAATAAATGGACACAAATCTGACATCAGGAATCATAACGTTCAAAAACTGGTAGGAGAACATGTCAACCTCTCTGGCCACTCAGTAAAAGATTTAAGGGTGGCAATTTTGCAACAGAAAAGCTTCAAAAACAGACTCCACCAAGAAACTGCTGAGCTTGAATTAATATGCAAACTAGATACCATTAACTTGGGTTTGAATAGAGACTGGGAGTGGCTAGGTCATTACACATGTTGAATCTATTTCCCTAAGTTAAGTATCCTCACACCTTCTTGTTAACTGTCTAAATGGGCCATCTTGAGTATCACTATAAACGTTTTTTTCTCTTGCTGATAATAGCTCATCTTAATTAATTAGCCTCTTACAGCTTGTATGACAACTTCCATCTTCTCTGTATGTGTGTATATATCTTCTTACAATATGTTCCATTCTATGCATCCGATGAAGTGAGCTGTAGCCCACGAAAGCTTCTGCTCTAATAAATTTGTTAGTCTCTAAGGTGCCACAAGTCCTCCTGTTCTTTTTGCGGGTACAGACTAACACGGCTGCTACTCTGAAACCTGCCAAAGTATGGTTTCCCACAGTATTTTTTTACTGCTTTATCCAGTCTAGCTTTAAATGTCCCAAGCAATGCAGCTTTTAGCAGTTTTTAATGTACAGTTTAACACATTTCATCGGAAGGAAGCTTTTCCTGATAGGTTATTTTTCCTTTATGTCATCCCTTTACTCTAGTTTATACTCCCTGGATCCTCTTATATAATTTCCTTCCCATCTTAGTTTGTACAACCTTCACTTATTTATAGACTTATCACATCTCCTTTCATATGTTGCTTAACTAAGAGAAACATATTGAACTTTTTGAACTTACTTCTTAGAGGTATCCACATATTCAGTTTCAATGCTCTTCTCTGAACTTCTTGCAATTTTTCAGAAACTTTATGGCAGCATGGTGCCTGGAATACACTGAAGTATTGTATTCCAGTCACCATATTACCAAAAGGATGTTGAAAAACAGGAAGATCTTACAACACAGATGGACTCAGCAGGACATATAGAAGCACCTTTGGCACTGTAGAGGCAAGATTTGTGTGTGGAGGGCAGCCTCCATATACACAATTCTAGGGGTCATCACCCAACGCCTAAAATAAGGCAACATGAAATGATATATGGTGACAAAAGCTGGTGGAGGCTAAGGAGAAAAGGGGGAAAAGGTTATAGCAACAAGACCTATTTTGCATGAAAAAAATCTCCTTAACTTCTCTTTGTCAATAATGAATCTTACAAGGCTTGAAATAAATGAAAGTTGTTGTTTTTTAAAATCTTGTAAAGGATTTTAATAAAGGAGGTCAGTTACTCAGTAATTGTTAATATATCAGTGGCTTTACCAACTTTTCAGTGTTTGTTTTTCCACTGATATATTCAGTTCTCTTAAACCCCTTCCTATCATACAACAACCTCAAAGTGAAATTCGTGGGCTGTAAATTCAACCAGATCCAAACCATAGACAAACTTTTGAACAACCTTCTGCCAAGAGAATTGCTATATGGGTAATACATTGGTATCTTATTCATTTTCTAGAGAAAGTGAATCCTCCTAGAAATGTCACCATGTCTTTAAAACAAAACAACCTTCTGGTCAAGTGGGAAATGCCAGCTTCTTCTTTCCTAAAGGAATGTTTTAAATATGAACTTAACATCTACAACTGGAAGATGGGTTACAAACAGGTAACTGCTTGTTAAAAGTTGAGGTATTCTATATAGAACTTACCTATGAATTGTCTTTCTTATATGTCTAGAATATGTCTTATATGTAATCTAGCGAAAAAGTAATCTAGCGAAATGTAATCTATGTAATCTAGCGAAAAAGTCTTCTGGTTCATGGATATCTTTTGAGTTTCAAATTATGCCTGTAACCAGCACTCCAACTACCATCCTCTAAAATCTACAGATCTAGCGTCAAATCTTAGTCCCACTGAAATCAATGGCAAAACTCCCACTGACTTTAATGGGGCTAGGATTTCACCCCTAATTTTTAAATCAGCTTTCTTTTATGGAGCACTTTTTTTTTTTGCCTACAATGAATTATACCCACATTTTAGCTTGGAAAACACGAATGGAACAATTTAAAATGTACATCAGTTTTGGATGTTCATCTTGACGCATCCAGGTCCATTCTGTCAAAGGTACAGGTGCTCAGCAACTCTGAAAATCCAACAGTAAGGGTCTTAAACTGGATCCCCCAAAACCAGTGACTACTTTTGAAAATTTTGGCCTGAATGAATTGCAGGGGGAAAATGGTGGATGTAATTAATTGTGGGTGCAAAATTGTGCCCACAAATATGGAGGTTTTGTGTGAAAATCATGTCTTTGACATCGACCTCTAGGCTATTAAAACTAATTTAAAAGAAGAACAAACACAACAATCAATTTGTAACCATGCTTATATCTATGCCTAAAGCAAATATTGTAAATTTACTTCTGAAGTTTAGTAACTGGAGCAATTTAAGTATTGCTGTCTTGACCTTATTAGTCTTAAGAAATCTATGACAGAGTTATGTTGTTTTTAACAGATATTGGAAACCGAGTTAAATAGTTTCAGTTTAAGGATTGATGACACCTGCAGATACTCCATACAGATTAGAGCTAATCATCAATCATGGTGTACCGAAGGATTTTGGAGTGATTGGACTGAACCTCTTTATATTGGTAAGAATCAAAATGTCTTTGTTGTCTAATAGTTACTTTAATACATATGTTATTGAAGGCCAAATTCTGTTTAATCATGCACATGTACAGCTACCATTAACTTCAGTGGAAGCCATGCAAGTGTATCTGAGGACGTACATTGACCCTTTAATTGTTGCTACTCCTTGCTACCTCTGGATAGTCCAGAATATGGGTTCCATTCATAAAGATATTTGTGGATAAATGAAAAATTTGTTTGAAAGAACACTTGAAAATAGTGTAGATCCCAAATTCAGGTTTTAATTAAAAGAATCAATAAAAACAGCTTACTAAAAATATACATGGTGCAGTGAACACAAATGCTATTGTATTGCTAATACATGAGAACCAGAAAGTGAAACTGACTGGTTCAAATTTTAGAGCTGGTTGAAAAGGATTCACTGAACCCACAGCTCTTTTTGAAGTCAATGAGGGCTGTGCATGCTTGGCACCTCTGAAATCATGGTCCTAGGGGAGTGTATAGTGCTCCTTCCTGCCTACTGATACCATGTTGGAGCATTGGCTATGTCTACACTTGCAGAATTTTTGCACTATGAGTTTCAATGGTGATAGTGAACCAGTGAAAGAAAAGCGCTGGTTTGTGTACTCACTTACTTCCAAAGGCGTCAGAGAGTTTTTACATTTGCAGCACTTCCATCGCGGATCAGGGCAGCTATCCCACAGTGCAGCTCTCTCCATTTTGACGATGGGTCTTGTGGGAAGGTTGGGGGTGGGGTGATCGCAGGGCACCCTGGGTCCCTGCACAGCCTCCTCTCCCCAAACACTGATCAGCTCCAGTCGCTCAGCACTGCTCCAAGCGGGGGATCGTTTGCTCAGTGGAGCAGCCATTGTCACCTGGCCAGAAGATAAATGAGCGCTTGCAATAAAACAGGAAGGGGAGTTTCAAAGTTCCCGGGGCTTTACAGGGGGATGGGTGGATGTCTGTTTACCTGGCATCACAGCATCAGAGCAGCTGCCAGAGTGGTCACCTGGGCATTGTGGGATATTCTGCAAAGGCTAAAAGCTGTGTAAACAGGAAGAACGTGTCTTCACTTGCCCATCACCGCAAAAGCATCACCAGTAAGAGCTGCACGCCTCTCGTGGAGATGTTTTTCTCTTTGCGGTGAAACTTCTGATTTTTACTGCAAAAAGTCTTTGGCAAGTGTAGATGCTCCCATGGTTTTTGCGCAAAAAAAGGGACTTTTTCTGCTTTAAATGGCAAGTGTAGACATGATTGGTGCAATACTATTTCAGAGAAACGAATGCCACCTCCTGAATCTACCTGTTGTAGTAACCTGCAGTGTCCTTAGGTGTCTCCATATAATTACTAGCCTGGGGCAGTTTTGCTCTCCATGTGAAATATGACAAGATCCTAGCCTGAGCTGGCACAGCTGGGTCTGACATGCATCACACAGGAAGAAATCAGCATGTCCTGCTAGCTGTTTAATTCTTTAAATATGACACATACCTGCCTCCTCCGCCCCTCCCCCCCCGCCCAGTGATGTGGGTGCTGGTGTGCTAATGCCAAAAGTCAAAGCGAATGGTGAGGTCAGGTACTCCTTATTAGAAGTTACCTGAACTCCCACGGGAGTCTGTGAAGGTTAGTATCTTTGGAAAGCATTAATTTGCCTAGATCGGATCCACTTGATACTGCATTTCCTGATTGCTGAACATGTTCTCATAGAAGTAGCAGTTATCATATCATAACACATTATCGACTGTTTGTTCTCAGCCATTCCCTCGCTCTCTTATCTTTGGAGTTATATTTTTTTACTTCCTGATTTTCTTTTTTAAGAAAATGTTCTTCACTTTGCTCTCTCCTGTTTACCAAACTCTTCAATGCCTTTACACCTATTATCTAGTGAACGTTAATGTGCCTACTTGGCTCTAATGAATTCACTGGGTACCTTCACCCAGCTCCTGATAACAGAGTGTCCTTCAGAAATGGGGCCACAGCAGTGCTGTGCAACTACAATTCCTGCTCTGGTGCTGACCAAGCTGTGCTCACAAAATGAAGGAAGTCAGTATGGGTTGCTTACATCAGCCCTAATCTGTTTCCATTCTGGGGCTCAGCCCTTTGTGACTCATTTATAGGTCCTATAAGCCAACGGTTCTTAAACTTATTTGATTGCACCCCCCATTCTTTGTGTCTGTAGTAGTTTAACTCCCCACCCCCCCACACACCCTGTTCCTGGCCCACAAATACAGATATGGCCACCCTAGCTCTTAGGACAGAGCGAGGAGCCGTGGCTGCTGGTGGGGTGCCCAGCTCTGAAGGCAGCACCACCACCAGCAGCAAAGCAGAAGTAAGGATGACAATACTACACCATGCCACCCTTATTTCTGCACTGCTTTCAGAGCTGGATGCCCAGCCACTGCTCTCCTAAAACTTCTCCCCGCCCCCCACCGAATACATTCCACGCCCTCCCAGTTTGAGAACCTACTGGAGCAAGGGTCAAAATTGGCCCTACAATTTCCACATGCACAGTATCTGAGTTGCCATGGTTAAGGCCCTGTGTTAAGTTCTTTCAGCTGCCATTAGCTGGGCCCTTACTTCTTATCTGAAGTATGAGGAAATACTGCCTTGTCTCAGGTAGCACACTGGTAACTTTGGCAAATGTTGGATCTGCAGAGGATAACTGGGTAAATTTTAGTCTGCTTGTCTGTGGAGAACTTATCAGACATGAACTAGCCTACATCAATGAACTGTTTATGTGCCAAGTGAGTCCGTGGAGAGCTGGTTTCACATGTTTTTTGCAGAACTTGAACTTGCAACCTCATATGTTGCATCACTAATTGCAAACATGAAACATATTCAAACTGATGAAAAAACTAAAAATGTACCCAGATGTCTCACCAGGATTATTCATTTAAAACCTAAAAAAACCCAAGGAAATTCTCCAAAACAAACTTAATTCAGTGTCTGTTAAGGTTGCTAGGTTTTTCTTGTTTACAAACAGAAATTTGTATTCCTGATTCCTGCCTTATCTTATGGCTCTTTAGGATCAAAGGCAGCCAAAAAAAACCACAGAAGCTTCAGGACTACTCTACTATGTGCTGGGAACCAGGAGTAGCTCACTCCAGTTTTAGGACTAAGAAAATGTAAATGCATCTTAGTGCCACTTTCCACCCCACCCTCCCAGACTTGCACCAAGCACAGCTTGGCCTTAGACCTCATTTTCTTGGAAGTATAATTGTAACCAAAATTTAAAAAAAAACTATTTAAATCAATGGCAGTAATTAATATACACGTTTGCCCAGGTCGACAAGCTGCAATGGCACAGGCCCCAATCCTGCAATCGTTTCTCATGTGAGCACTCCATACCCACAAAAATAGTCCCAATGACTACAGGAAAGGAGTACTTGTGGCACCTTAGAGACTAACCAATTTATTTGAGCATAAGCTTTCGTGAGCTACAGCTCACTTCATCGGATGCATACTGAAGTGATGAAGTGAGCTGTAGCTCACGAAAGCTTATGCTCAAATAAATTGGTTAGTCTCTAAGGTGCCACAAGTACTCCTTTTCTTTTTGCGAATACAGACTAACACGGCTGTTACAATGACTACAGGGTGACTCCTCCCATAAGATCTGCAGGCTTAGACACTTAGGCCTTCATTGCACAGAAAAGAATCTGTTCCAAAGGTGAATATTATTTCTTCTTGAAACCTGAGTATTGTGCTGCTGACCAATTTATATCCTTTCAATTATTCAGTGACAGTCATTCTGTCACCTTGATATCGGCTGCGTGCCGTTCTCATAGGCATACGGGGAGTGGGAAAACTTTAAAATCTAAATGTTCAAATGTAAATGTTTCCTTTATATAGCTCAGAGTGGTGAAATGTGACATTAGGAACACCTTTGTCAAACAGGAACATTGTCCTTAATACAATAGGTGTTTCTGCCCCCAGGCACTTGGAGCAGTGACATTCTTCCTGAGGGAGGATTAACAACAGACTTCAAAGAAAAATTGGTGGTCTCACTGCATGTTTTATTGGCCCTGGCTATTAAGCCAGGAAAATCCAACTCCTGGCTTGAAAGGATTAAAATAAATAACTGAAGGGTGGTTTAACGGAAAACAAGTTCTTTGTGACCACGATTATAAGCAAACTGTCTCTTTATTGCAGCCTCAGACATATTTGCCTGTTGTGTGGAATTGCACAACTCAGTATGTTAACAAAGCAGGGTGCACTGCACTGATAATGATTGTGGCCCTGATTCATGCCAGTTCTTAGCTTGCTTGCTTTCTTCTATGCATAAATTGAAACCTAGCCACGTGGAAGAAGTTCTTAATGCTTAATTTGCTACAGATTGTTCCCCAGTCATAGGTATAAAAGATTTTATATGGAGAGATATAAATTGTGATCTCAGATACATCCATGTAAACCCACTGAATGAAGTAAACTTGGTTCCAAGGGCTTATCTACTGGAAGAATTTTTCCCAATGTGTTTTCTTCAAAGGGAAAAAATCATCCTTTTTTTTTTAAATCCAGGAAAAAACCAGCCAAGGACTCCTGTAGACTCCAAGACCTACACGGTTCTCATTGCGCTTATAGTATCCATATGTTCCATGGCATTGCTTATTGCTATAATATGCAGAAAGTAAGTATTTTTGCTTAGGCAATAACTAATTCGCCTAGATTACATTTGCATGAGGAATTATTAAATGCATTATTCGGTACTCAAAGGGCTTTTATTTTGGTATTAAACATGATTAATACATATCAAGAATATTGATTAAATAATAATAGTTGTTCAGTGAATTTGAGGAAGTTTAGGAGAATGAACAATTTAATCTCAAATTCCAAAGCCATGTGTTGAAAGAGGGACTGAAACTGTCTCAGTGTGGGATGGACTGTTGGGAAGCTACCTTATCTACTTTGCTCAGTCCTCAGTAAGATGGACCCTGGTGGCCATTTATCTCCATAGAAGAATGCCACCTTGAGACCCAACAAAAGCTGCTCAGAGAAACCATCTTTCATGGTTAAAGACAAAGGCCAGTATTTTCAAACTTGTGGTCGAAAACCAGGCACCTGAAATCCATATTTAGGCACCTGTACATGTGGCCTGATTTTCACTGACTTCGCTGGGAGGCAAAGGTGCTCAGCACCACCAGAAAACCAAGCCAGTATGGACTTATACCCATTAGCATTTAACTATTCTCTAGGACTGGTTTGGCAAGTATTTTATAGCAGCTTCTTTTTAATATTAGAGCCCATGGATGCCCTTGTAGCCAACCTTCCAAAGACATTGTGTGAACAAAGCCAGAAATAGTTTGGATTTCAGTGGCAGTATTCAGAAATCAAGGAAGAGAATCATAAATCACTGAGGAAGTCAGTTCATCAATGATGATTCAAAGAATCAATAATGTAATTACAAACTCTTCTCCCTAAGAGATATATCAAGCAGCAACCATTAGGTTCACAATAAAAATGCTCACAGTAATTCAAGCACTGTCCTTGAATCCACTAACTGCCTGTTAATTTCTTTAATGGCTCCTAAATTAGTTGCTCACCTGATGAGTCTTCAGCTGACTTCCTTCCCCCAAAGTTTCTTTTGTCAAACTAAAAGCACAGGTTGTAAAAAGAATCACTTTGGGTATGTCTACACAGCCGATGTTAAAGTGCTGCCATAGCAGCTCCAGTGCTGGGAAAGAGCCCCGTGCTGTAAAAAAGCCACTTCCACGAGGGGAATAGCTCCCAACACTGGGAGCGCGGGTCCAGCTCTGTAGCACTGTCTACACTGCCACTTTACAGCGCGGAAACTTGGACCGCTCAGGGGGGTGTTTTTGCATTGTATATTCCCAGTACACAGTTAACTTGGGAGTTGGCCCTAATTTCCCTCCTAGCCACACACAAAACCTCCAATCCAAATTTCATGGGGACTTAAACCTGGGCTAGCTGGTATGGTTAGAGGTGTGGGTTAGAACTCCAGTTCCACTTTCACCCAGGCTGGTAATCCACCCACTCTGCAATATGGACACAGGCTCACTCATTTGAATGCTGATAGTCCTCCACTACCTTCCCACAATTCTCCTTTTGTGCCCAGGACAGACATGTTCTCTCACAATTCACTGGGGAGGAATTATAGAGCAGGTCAGCTTACTTCAGCTCAGTGAACATGGGATAGGTCTCTGAAGTCCTAGCCACACACACGCATGAGTGCAGCACCAGTGAGGTATGTCTACGCTGTGATAAAAAAACCCCATGGCGCCAAGTGTCAGAGTCCAGGTCAGTTGAAAAATAGCATGTTTGAGCTTGGGCTGGAGCCCAGGTTCTGAGACCCCCCATGAGGTGGGAGGGTTAAGCCTGAGCCCCAACATCTACACTGCAGATTTTACAGCCCTGCAGCCTAAGTCAACCCACCCAGGCCAGCTGTGGCCATGCCACGGGTCTTTCATTGCAATGTAAACATCCCCAGGAACTAGGGTAGGGGGCTTTGCAGCATGGCTGCTCACACCTGGGCTGGGACAACATAAGTGCTCAGACCGGCTGCCAATCTCCCGAGTTAACTGTGCTGTGACGATATTCCCTTTGTGGTACAAGTAACTCACCTGCCAAGAGCTGAAATGATAGCAGCATGTACAACAGTACTATCTCCAGTCAGCTGTGTCCCATCCCTTAGCTGGATCCCCAGCTGCAGCTGCCCCCCCTCCCCCCCGAGTGACTCCAGCTGAGCCACACTTCAGGGGTTGACATGCACATTCCAAATCATTTTGTGACGCCGTGTTCAAAATAGGTTGCAGAATGTTCCATCTTTTCTCCTTGGTAAGGAAGAGGAAGTGCCTAGGTCCCCTTAGAAATCTCTTTCTTAGGAAATCCTCTTTCTCCCACATTCCCAATGATTCCTTGGCCACACGCCTCAGGCATAAAGTTATAGCCTGTACAACTGTGAAAAGACTTCATTGTGTTTTCAATATTCCCAGTCTTCCCTTTTGTGACGTGTAATTTTCATCATCACATCACTAAATAATTAGCTAAGCACAAATACGTGTTGTAACATTTACCTACTGAGGCAGTAGCCATTTTAGCCAGGGCATGTCTACCAACTACAATACCGCACGATAGTCATGGAAGACTTTGGAGGAGCTATCTGTGGGGTATAAGTAAGAGCCCAAGTGGGCGACATGAAAGGGAATAAGTTAGTAGCAGGAATTTACTGTAGATAATTTGCTCAGAAGGAATAATGGGATAATAAGAGCTTGGCAGGAACCAAAGAGGCTTTTGAAAAGGGCAAAGTGATGGTCATGGAAGAGTTCAACCAACCAGATGAACTGAGACAGTGGTGATAAAATAAAACTATCAATAGCTTAGTGGGAATGGTACAGGACTGCCTCTTCCTTAAGCAGCACATAACAGAGTGAAACAGAAACAGGCAGTTCTCACCTTGACCCCAACCAACACAGCTGAAAGTGGTGCAGATGTAATGCTAGCTGAGCATCTAATCAACAGAGATTACGCTAATTGTTGCACTGGTTTTAAACCAGTGTCATTTCACTTAAATCATATCAGCATGTGATGGAACGGACAATTAGATCATGTATATTAAGGATATAATTTTGTCACGGAGATCACAGGATCATGTCTGTCCTGGGCAGAAAAGGGGAATTGTGGGAAGGTAGTGGAGAACTATCAGCACTCAAGTGTGTGAGCCTGTGTCCATATTGCAGAGTGGGTGGATTACCAGGCTGGGTGAAAGTGGAACATTGAGCCTCAGCATCGAAGTTGGGTGTAAGGATCTTGATACTGTTCCATAGGGGTTGCAGGATTTTAATCTAATCTTTGGTCGGCTCTGCAAGTCATAGTGCAGTGGCATCCTCGTATTTGATTAGGAAAGCAAGATAGTGCTTTTTTCTCAGCAGACACTGTAGATTTTCATTTTGGTGATCAAAGACTGTAACTGAGCCTCTGATAAATTCAACCTAAGCTTTTGAGTTATTTCTCACTGTGTTTCTGTGGGGACTGACGTGTTTAGCCTTACTTTGTTTTATTTATGTTTGTGTATAACTGTGAAGATTAAAGTAGCCTTGTTATAATGCAGAAATTGTTCTTCTTATGTTTCTTTAGCATTATAAGATTATATAAAGTTAATATTTGAGAATTAAGTTCATTCCTTTTAGACTTGGTTTGGGGAGGTTGACCCTGTGCAAGCCTTGCTGAAAATTTTCAGCAACTGAATTCTAGGTCTCCATATGCTTTCCTAGGGGAGATGGTTTTTTTGAGGCACTGGAGAAGGTAAGTGAAGTCCACCCAAAGGGTACACGGCATACAGGCCACATGGGCTTTTGCAAAGCAGAAGCTCTGACTACTTACCTGCAATGGAGTCCAGCTACAAGGAACCTATTGAGCATACCCCAAACTACACCCAATTTCAGGAACTTCTGGGTGTGACTTGCTAATTTTGCATTTACCAAGCACCAATGACCCAGTTATTCCTAAACCCCCACCCTGTCCCCCCTCGTCTATAGATCTCTTAAAGAGATCTCTCTCTATTAGGCACATGGATTATAGCGGCACCATCCCAGCAGCACCTCAGAGAACAGATTATGGCACCGAGTCACATTCCCTCCCCTTTGCCCTGGGGAAAGCGTAAGTTATTGCATTCTTTTCCACTGCGTGGCACTTCACTACCCACAGCGTGCTAGGCCAGCTGCTCTGGCCAGTCATTAGGGGTGAGTGGAGTCTCCTCCCTCATTCCTCTGTCCTCAGCCATTTACTAGCAGGTGAGTAGCCCCCCAGCTCTCCTCCCTGGGTCAGGAGTCACAATCTGAGTAGGAGTTGGGGCAGGCGAGTTGAGTGTATGTGGCAATAGAGTCCCTGGGAATCAAACCATTGTTAATCATGGTAGAGTGAAGAAACCAACTGATTTCTTTCATAAACCTGCTTTACTGTTTCCACAGGTATCACGTATGGAGCAGACTATTTCCACCAATTCCAACACCCCAAAACAGTTTAAAAAATCTGTTTTTAAATAAAAGCTATCAGGTAAAAGAAATGTATTTACGTTATTTGCACAGAGGAGACAATTAACAGTCTTTGGCTGCTGCCTCTTTCCTAGACATATGTTAAGTATGTCTTTCTTTTGTATTGTCCTCCTGGAGAGCAACTAACATTGCTCTGATTAAGAACTCCCTTCCTGCTGTTCATAACTTCCCATGTAAATATTACTTGTGAGCCACATTTCCAGACTAGTGCATGCAGAAATGTGTGCACATAATTTGTGTGTGCAATTAATGCAATAATCAGACAATCCTAACTGCAAGCACAAAAAGCCGAGTTAGAAACTGAATGAGCCATTTGCTCCTGCAGTTGGTGAGGTTGGGTGTGCAATTATGGCAACTGTGGCCAGACTCTCAAACTGGTTTAAATTAGCAAAGATCTGTTGACTTTAGAGAAGACTTGTGACCGAGCCCTGTTTGTGCATTGTATATTTGTGTGAAATCCTAAAGGGTGGCCCTATGTATTACATAGCTCTACTGTATTAAATACACACTAAAAATAAGCCACAAAGTTAAAAGTATAAGGCCAAATCCTGGTAAAAGAACCATGCCTGGGTAGTAGACTTTGCTTGCTTGAAGAAATATCTGTAGCTAGACTAGGGCTGGCTGCAGTTGTGTATGTGGGTGGGTGGGTGGGGGGGGGGGAGGGAAGAGCAGTGGATGTGGCCTGCTACTACCTTCTAATGTGAGGCATGATAACGTCCTGCCATGCCTGTAGCTTGCCCACTGTGTTGCAGAATGGAAATCTGCTGCAGTGTCTCCTTCTGGGTAGCACAGGGGAAGCCATATACATTCCTTCCGGATTTGAGAGAAATAGCCAGATTTTCAAGGTAAATGTGCACCCAAATCATACATTTGCTCAGGCAAACAGGCACTTAGATGCCTAGCAAGCTACCCATTGGAAGGCCAGAGTGCCAGCTTGCCTAGTCAGCTGTAGGATTTGCACTTACGATTTAGAATTCACTTTTGGAAGCTGTGCCCACAAAGTCCATTTACTGTGTTCCAGTGTGAGCCCAGATTGCTACAGATGATGCCATAGCTTCAGTGGGGAAAGGAGCTGTCTCCTGAACAGTGAAGTGGAGTTCGAGTGGCAGATTTGTTCAGGATAGTACAAGTGATGTAACTAGGACTAATCTGATGAAACGAAGAAAGGGAAAACCTAGGCAGATTTATCTGGAAACATTTGCTGACAGCAAGATGTATGTGGTGGAGGAATGGTGCGAAGTGCTGGAAAAGTCCATCCCATAGGAAACTTAAACCTGAATGGACAAAGCACTAAAGAATGTATTCCAGGTAACATTCTAGGGAGGAAGGATGATCCAGCGGTTATGGTACTAGCTGGGAACTCTAGTTTCAATTGCCTGCTCTGCCACCGACTTCTTGGGCAAGTCAAACAGGGCATTGCAATCGGAGGTATGAGCGTAGTACGTTACATGCCTGAATAGCTTTAATCTAGCCAGCTTGGGTACTAATGGCAGTGAACCATTAGTACTAGTGGCAGCGTGGACTGCAGCATGAGCTAGCTGTCCGAGTAGGTACCCAGGGTTCTGGGCCTGGGCTGCAACCTGCCGTTTGTACCCAAGCTAGCCAGAGTAAACCTAGTTCAGATATGTCTACTCCAGCTGCAATCACACCCCTGATTGCAATGTATGTACCCTTAGTCTCTCTGTGTTTCAGTTCCCCGCCTGTAAAATAGGGACAATGGCCTCTCAAGGATGTTGTGAGAATAAGTACATTATAGATTGTGAGCACTCAGATATTACCCTAATGTGGGATATGGAAGTACCATAGATAGATAGCCCTGTGTTGGCACAGATGCAAACACCATGTAACTTCTGTCTTCTGACCTGATTTACTTTGTGAAAACTGATGAGAGATCCTTTATATTAAGTACTTAATAAGGACTTAATATTAAGTAGTTTTTATGCCTTCTTATGTTTGCTATTCCTGAAAAAATATAATTGCCTTACAGATAAGATGTAACTTGGCCTTGGCTTTTCATGGAGAATTTTGTATAGTAACTTGCTTCTAATTTCCCGCCATCCTCTGAAAAGTTTTCCTTTGTTATTCCACAGTCTGATCAAGGAAACAGGCTTAAGAGATTATTGTATAAGCCTTCAGTTTGTTTTTAATTAAAGTAAAGTCAACTGTGGAAAATAACATGACTGGGTATGACAAACTGATTTTAGAATAAGAGAAATAGCAAACATTAACATAGTAGCTAAGCAATCTTTAGAAAAAGTGAAATGAGACAAAGAGCATTTTACATTACTGAGAGCAGCATTGCGGTTTATGAAGCAATCTTTTTATTTAAAGTACTTTTAATGCAGGTGAACGAAACCAGATTGAAAGCCCTAGAGGCAGAAGGCTGGTGTTTAGCAATAGACTACAATAAAACCTGAGCAGCTAGCAAATTTCCTCCCACCCCACTGACATGCTTTAGTTTGTTCTGATGGGACCACTTCTGTGCCAGATCAATTTTGGTGTCTCTGCTGAGATTGCCAGAATGGGTGCAATTATTGTGTTGCCCCTCAGTTCTTAAATATTTAACATTAGGGTGTGGTTCAACTCAGAAAGGGGCCTGTGTAAAAATGGCAATTCACAGTTTCCATATTTATTGTGTTTCAATGACTCCAAAGCAACTTCGTTCAACTTACAAGTAAACAGATACTTTATCTCTCTGCCAGCCCTATAAACTTAGCTTGGGATCATGAAAGTCCAACTGTGTTCTTTTTGGTTCATGTATCAAGGTTCAGAAGGCCGCATAATTACACCTGTGAAAGTCCATTTGGGGTTCAGAGGTCAGAATTTGGCACCACCATTCTTATATAGAGAATTCTTAAATAATGGATAGCCCGCTCACTCTCTCCTAATACTATTCATCCTGCTTTTCCTCCATAGATCTCAATGCAGTTTACCAAGGAGGGAAAGTATCATTGTCACTTTACAAAAGGGTGAAAATCTGGTCCCACTGAAGTTATGGCAAAATCCCCAATGAAGTCAGTGAGACCAGGATTGTATAGTACTTGTCCAAGGTTACGGCAGGCCAGTGGCCAAGCCAGGAATAGAACCCCAAGTCTTTTGTATGCTGGTATAGTGCACCACACTGCTCCTCTCGGAGCCTTATTAGCTCTGCAGTGCTAACAGGACAGAGTTAAAAATGGTAGTCAAGCATTGATTTTGCAACGAAAATAATTAGGTAGGACACCAAATACACCTGGGGCAGATCTGTGGAGTAAGATAGTGCCATTTTCCCCACAGCCCGTGCTTTAGCATTTTTCTTCTGCCAGTTAAGGCAATATTATACAAAGCTAGATTTGTGACCTTTGTCAATGGATCTCACATTGCCAGTGACAAAAGTGACATGTGTCAGCAAAATGGCCACAACCAGCAATGGGGTTAATTGTGATATAAACTTTTACACAATTTATCCCCTGCTGAGACATACTTCGCAGCCTGCAAAATTTCATACTGCTTGGATGAGATAATGGGTGCATTGCTCCTGGAATACACCAGTTTCAGAGGTTAAATCTCAAGCAAAAATATATATTTTTGAATTGTGTGTTTTTAATCATAGTGAACTTTGAACTGTCATGAACTGGAGCTCAAAAGCATTTTTCACCTACCATTTGGTAGCTAAAAGCAGTGTTTGTGTTTCAGAGAGCACGTACCTATACCAGTGAAACAGAAACAGAAGTCGGAAGTTGCTTTGAAGATCTTGGAAGTTATACTGAAGACCTTTATTTCGATGTCCTCGAAGATTCATAATCTGAAATATTACTCCATTCCTGATCTTGAAATTAACAGGAGTGTTACTGCACATGACAACAGCTTAGAGTGGATGGACCTTCAGGGCACGCCATCACCAGCGCTTCAAAGATAGAGAAATGTGTTGCTTCCAAGCGGTTAAGTTGCTTAATTACAAACTAACACATACGAATATGTCACTTTTTAAGAAAAAAGTGAGTATGGCCTGTGACGCTCTGGGCCTCGGTGGGGCACCCGACACCCCCATGTTCATCTTTATAAAATGATTGCGTGGTATCCAGTGCAAAGTTTCTCATGTTGGGTGTCTTCAGAAGCCTCATAATGCACTGAGCATGGTTGTTATAGTGATGTTATAGTAATTGTTACAGTGATGTTGTAGGTTATCATTTCATGTATATAGTTACGAGGCTGAAAATGTGTCTTGTGGCTTAAAGCAAGCCCAAGAACAGGGAGGCAGTTCACACCTCGTCAGGGCATGGATGGGACAGCCCAGCCTCACAGGAACAATGGACACTGGCTCAGGCAGCAACAAAAGAATCTGTTAGACCCTCGAGGGAGTCTCCCCCTTCTTTGGGCAGTCTGGGACTGCGATGAGATAATGCTCACCTGACTCTGAAGGGGTACGGGTAGGCAAAGCCAAGAGGAAAGAAAGGACACGATAAAAGGGAGAGATATTGTGCCATGTTTTCGCTCTTCCACCTACATCTACAGACACCACCATCACCAAGCGACTGAAGCGCTGATCAAAGGGGAGAGCCTGGCTGAAGAGCCAGCCTGAGAAGCATCTAAGTTTTTAAGGACACTGAAAGTGTTAAGATCAGCTTAGAATGTGTTTTGCTTTTATTTCATTTGACCAAATCTGACTTGTTATGCTTTGACTTATAATCACTTAAATCTGACTTTATAGTTAATAAATGTTTGTTTATTCTACCTGAAGCAGTGTATTTGGTTTGCAGTGTGTCAGAGACTCTCCTTGGGAGAACAAGCCTAGTACGTATCAATTTCTTTGTTAAATAGACAAACTTATATAAGCTTGCAGCGTCCAGTGGGCATAACTGAACACTGCAAGACGGATGCTCCGAGGGTTGTTTCTGGGCAGGGCCAGCTCTCGGCACCAGCTAAGCAAGCTGGTGCCTGGGGCGGCACTGCTGAAGGGGCGGCACTCCGGCAGCAGCCCTGCTGGCAATTCGGTAGCAGCCCCTCTCCGTTGTTTTCTGCGGCGGTAATTCAGTGGCAACTCTTCTGACTCAGGTCTCGCCGTGGGCAGCAATTCGGCGGCAGCTCCCTCCGATGGTCCTGTTCTCTCCAGCAGTGGCGTATTCGGCAGGGCTTTTTTCTTTTTCTTTTTTTTTTTTGCTGCTTGGGGCGGCAAAAAACGTAGAGCCGGCCCAGTTTCTGGAACCAGAGATATTGGCTAGTGTCATTCAGCTGCACAATCCAAGGAGCAGCTTATATGCCAGAGGCTGTGCGTGAACAGCCCAGGCGTGGGGGCTCTCACAGCAGAGCAGGGTAGGTCTGGCTCCCAGAGTCAAGGATTGGAGTGGCCTAGCAGATCACTGGTCCAGACAACACCAGAGGGGAACGTCACACATTCTGTAAGCATTTCTTATCAAAGCATGAAAAAATAAATTCCTTTCTGTGAGAGCCAAAGACCTCTTCTGCTTGGCAGCTAAGAGATAGAGCTCCAGTAACCTCAGTGAAGCTACTTCTACTTACATCAGAGCTGAATTTGGCCAAGTGGAACCACTCCTGTAAGAGTGGGCTGAAGTCTCCTGTTGCTGCTGTTGTTCTCCGATAACTGGCATATTTTTGTTCCCAGGACCATATGTTCTGAGAAGGGGGTTAGGGAGCTATCACACTGATACAAATCACATTTGAGTCTTTGCTCTTTGTGAGCTCAGGTGGGACAGGGCCAGAAAGACTCAAAAATCAAAATACAGTGAAAGAACTTTTTCAAGAGGTGGTGGCTCGATCTGTGTTTTGTTACGCAAGTCCCTTGCCCTCCATTCCCTTTTTAAAAACTCACCTTTTCCCAGACGAACAACCCCCCACATGGAACTAAATTGTGATACATCCTTTGTTGCCATAGCTGTTCTAATATCTGGTACTATGAACTCCATCCTCCCTCCGGCCTTCCCTTTTTTAATATTCATTCCCTTAGCGTCCTATGTTTGTTGAACTCATCTTCGGTTGTAAGCTTCTCAGTTTGCAAGACCTGTGTCTTAATATATGTAAAAAGTGTAATTAATATCAGTGGAAGTATAAGCAAATACTAACAACTTATGGATAAGGGAACATCCAAACTACCTAATTAGGCAAACTACTCGGAGATTTAATTTAAAATGTGGATTTTCTTCCTTTTTTTGGGGGGGGAGGTGTAATTAGAACTGCTTTAATGGTGTGTGAGATTTGATGTGCAGAACTCTGTTTCATAGTAGTTAACCAGAGGTCAAACATGAGGGCCTGATTCTCCATTACCTTGTGCAGTTAGTTACAGTACTGCAAAATGGGTGCAAAACTTTGTATTTGCATTCTTTTTGCACTGCTGTAATTGATTAAACAGGTGCAGAATAATGGCAGATCAGGCTCAGACTGAACAAGGTGCAGGATATGGCAGCTCAGGCTCATCTGGTCTTCCTTAATTACAATTACAAGAGTTTGTAAACTGTGAGGTCACGAGAGACTGATTTTGAAGAGGTTAGTTACCTTCTGCGGCATCCAAATAGGCTGCTTACTTTGCATATGCAATTGATAACTGCACGTGCAAATTATCTTTTTGCATGCACAACTAGTCAGACTTACAAGCGATCATGTGCATTCAGATAATTCATTGCTTCTGCAATCAATGCGACCTCGGATGTTATGCATCAGGATTATAGCTTTTGTGCGCTGCAGTGCTATCAGTGTGCCAAATTCAAACACTGAGTGACTTCATACTGAAAAGCATTTAGCGCAACATCTATAAAGTTCAACAGAAAACTAACAAAAGGCACACATTGACACGTAAACAGGAAGCCAACAGATTCTTGGTAGCTGCCCTTTCAAACATTATGAAATGGTTAGTCTATCAGCATCAAGCCCATCTGTACTACGTGCCGTCTGCAGACAGGGCCGAGCACATTGTCAGCACTTAAATCGTCAGAATTACTTTGAAAATGCTGCTTGTGCAGATGAAACAAATTCTAGGCCTAAGTGACAAAGTCAGTGGAGTGGCAGGCACTCAGCACCTCTCTGGAGCGTGTCCTGTGCCCTCTCATGGCTTCTTCTCGAGCCTGTTCTTCACAATTTTTGTGCTTGAGTGCCAGATATCTTCAGCAATGTCCTGTTGTGCTAGGAATGCCTTTAACCTGAGGACTGGCCATTTGCCCAAACCAAAAACTGAGTGCTAGAGTAAATGGTGAAAATGGTGTTTCTCACCTGATCAAATAATTTTCTACTCTGAAAAGGAACCCTGTTTGGAGCAGTAAGTTTTGTGAGATCCTGTCTCTAGGCACATTGGCACACTTCCTAGGCTATGAATATGTGAAGATAGAAGATATCCTGAAAAGAGCGAGGGAAACAAAGACCTTCAGTTACTATGTTTTCAGCCCCAGTCTCTGTTTTCACATGCTCATGTTTGTGAGAACAGTTGAATGCACCTGTAATAAATAGGAGCACATCCATTCTGTAGCCACAGACAGTGAACTTTGGACAAACGGATCTCTGTGCATAAAACAGGATCATGCCCATTTCTGTGGTCTTAATCAGTTGCACTTGCAAAAGGTTGGCATGGAAAAGTAGAGGGCATGGGAAAATTTGTTCCCAAATATATATGGATGTTTCATAAAGTCGTCCTGACTAGAGTGCCCTCTTGTGGCAGGCCATGGTACAACATGTGTACCCATCACAGTTTGTCCACTCAGGTAAACCAGGGACTCCATGCTAGGCTCTCTTGGTTGAATAATACCCCTCTGGGGGTCTGTTTATTACAAAATGTAACACAAATAGTCCAAAACATAAGTCCCACAAAGTCCCTTTATCACAATCAGTGCATATAGTTCTTAAAAAAAAAAATCACACATTCTCTTGGCCTTTAGCGTAACACATACCACATTTTGGCATCTTCCACCACGCCTAGGCTTCTTGTCAGTCCTTTTTAGTCCCTCTTCCAGGACAGCTACCCCAGCCTCTTCCACTGAAGTGCAACCCTGCTTTTCCCACTGGAAACTTCCACAGTCTCTCTGCTGGGAGAGCATCCTCACCCAGGGAGCCCTGCTTGCTCCCCCAGCCTTCTCACTGTTCCCCTGGGTCCAGCTCTGCAGAGTGGAGACATCAATGGGTGAGCACCACTGCTGTTCCCCTGCTTTCATCCCTCAGCTTTGGCTCTCCAGCTTAGAATCAGCCAGCACCTCCCTCCGATGCTCCTCCTGCCTTCAGCCCCCTTCAGGAAGCACTTGGCAGTTCTCACCTGCATTTTCCTGACTGACTCCGCCAACCTCGACTCACCAGGTCTTTCTTCCTCTTAGATTCTCCCTGAGCCTTTATAGCCCCAAGTGTTGCGCTGCCCTCTTAACTAGCCAGCCTGGGAGCATCTGTTCTGGCACAGGGAAGCTGGATCTATTTAATTTACAGAAGCCAGCCACCCTGTGACAAAGTGAAAGGAAACCCGCAGAGAAATATTATTGCTCTTGGCTGGGATTTCTGAACAAGCCAAAGGGAATTAGGCCCCCAACTCCCCATTAATTTCAGCTCCCTTAGGATCCTTGAGAATTCCAGCCTTAATCAATAGGGTGTTCTGGTATTGCCTACATTGTACACTATACACTTCAGCTCTCAGTTGCACCAGTCCAAACCAAATGAAGCAGAGTTTAAGCCAGTGTTTGTTCTTTTAGTTTAATCTTGTTGCCTCCCTTGCAATCTGTATGCTTGCCTTGTGTAATCCACAGAGCACACTGTAAAATAAACCTGCATCTCAGAGCCACGCAGGCAACTTTGTCTTGAAAGGGAACTTGTTTTGCTGATGCTCATGAGGTGTGGTGACTTGTGCAGAGTTTCTCCTAATACTATCCAGAAGTTAGTGCCACCACTGTCCGGTGCTGTTGTTAAATAGGTGCCTGGTAAGGCAACTCCCATATTTTCACATGCTGTGTATTTATACCTCTCTACTGTATTTTCCTCTCCATGCATCTGATGAAGTGGATTGTAGCCCACAAAAGCTTATGCCCAAATAAATTTGTTAGTCTCTAAGGTGCCACAAGGATTCCCCATTTTTTTTACTTTAATTAGCCAGTTCCCAAACTGGTGTAAATTTGTATGACTCCTTTGAATTTTTGTGCCTAAAAATCTCCCTTCAGGTGATTTTAATGGATCTGAGGAGCCAAGATATAACAGCCTAAAAGCAGAGTGTATTAGATCAACAGAAGCTTAAAGTGGAAACAGAGGAGAATACATTTGCTGTTGATGTATTTTATTTGTTTCATGCCATCAACTATCCTAATATATAAGAATGCTAAATCTAGTTCTCTCTCATTTATTAAGCCCTTTTTAACAGAAGGCTACAGCAGGGATTATGCAGTGTATTTAAATAATTTTTGCATTGTATTACTATAGGTTCAGCGATTAGAAACTGTCTGGAATGCTCAGAATTTACCAGCCACGCTAGTGATGTAGCCAAAAAATGTGATCAAACATAAAAGACAGGTATATTAGGCTGGTGTACTTGGACAAATATTTGTGTTTCTGATTAATGTCTCAAATAAAAATGAAAGACAATCTTTCAAGTTTTAGTGTTATTGACAAGAGCCAGATGGATGGTGCATGAGGAAATTACACAAACATTTTGAAAGATTTGATGAAAACATACGAGAATGTGTACAGATTTTCATAAAGCCAGAAACAATGCTCCAGATGCTTAGTACTTCTAGAAATGACTCGCTTGCTCAAGAGGGGCC